ATCTAATTAAGTATCAAAACAAGATCATTCAGTTTTGGGTTTGTTGACAGCCTTTCCTTTCCTTTTCTTTGTTCCACACTCATTTTAACACTCTGATTCTCCAGGACTGGTGGAACTCTACATCTTTCGCCAACTATTACCGTACCTGGAACGTGGTCGTTCATGACTGGCTCTATTATTATGGATACAGGGACTTCCTCTTGGTGAGAAAAACTCAACTAAAATAATGCATAAAAACAGTTCAATAATATTTGAAAAAAACTAGAATAATCTGTATTTCCAAAGAAGCGTGCCACACTATGAAGTGCAAAAAGAAGTTTAACACTCGTCCTGTAATTCTTGTAAACAAATTCCTCTGAACCAGCCTGACCCGTGAACTTTGAGCCAAACCCCACACTGTTTACTCTGTCTCTGATCCCTGCAGCTGTCGAAAAGGAAATGCAGAACAGCTGCCATGCTCTCCGTGTTCATCGTCTCTGCTGTCGTCCACGAGTACGCCTTGACCATGGGCTTCGGCTTCTTCTATCCTGTCATGTTCTGTCTCTTTGCTGTCTTTGGAGGTGATTTAAATTCTCATTTTCTAGAGGACAATTTCACTACTTTATTAACAGAAACACTTGGTATCATCTTGTGCTCTAACCGGGCTGCTGAAAAACATTTAATAAATAAAAGTTTGAATAAGTACTGGGGGGGAAAAAAGAAAAAGAGAGAGAGAAAGGGAGAAATACTTCAAGTCTCCAACACCTCATTACTGTACTAAAGCTGAAGCTCTGTATCTGAATTGCTTGTTAAAATATGTAAATGTCCCCTTCCACACTCTGGACTCTGGCTTCAAGTTAAGATCTGTAATTATTCACGCTCACACACATTTAGTAGCTGTTTTCAGAGGACAACTCTCATTATATTTATAGAAAGTACTTGTACATTATGTCCTCTCCCCTGGGACTCAATAAGTAGTTATCTGACAGAACCTTTTACTTCCTGCTCTTATTGTCTGTCACTGTTCCCACTACCTGCAGTAACACAAATACGACACGGCTGCAGTCAGACTATGAAAACAAAACAAATAGCAACTTTTTCCTTTTTTTTCTTAGTGGTCTTCAACTTCACCATGAATGACAAGCGGCAGAGCCCTGTGTTCAACGTCATCATGTGGGCGTGTCTCTTCCTGGGTCAGGGTGTGCAGGTGTGTCTGTACTGCCAAGAGTGGTACGCACAGATACACTGCCCTCGGACAGGGGTATGTACTCCACCTACATTCAGCTGGTTCTGATCTGATGATCTGCAGATGTTTTTTTTTTTTTATTTCTTTATATGTCGATGGTTTTACATTATTTCTCTAGGATAATAAACCTGCAGGTACTGTTGGGATGTTAGTCAGGCCTTCAAGCAGTATTGTAAATGTGTGTATTGTATTTAAAGCATTTAAATACAGATATTACTATATTTTTTAAAGTTACTAAAAAGTGGGTCAGGACATGATTTCTGTTTGTTTTCTTGGCTTCATCTGAGACAGAAGCAGCGAAGTGTCCAAGTAACAATTGATGAAAAACCTGACATCAGTCTTCTTTGGCAGAAAATATTGATAAATAATTGACGACACTGTGGGAGGGGTACTATGCAGTTTGAAGGCTTAAATGTATTAGAGGATTACAGAAAATGTTCTTCAGGAAAAAAAAAACTACCGATACAGTAACAGATCCCGTGTGACTGCATGTGTGATGATGTCCAACTCTAACAGCAGAATGATCTAATTAGATGGCGATTTGACACTCATTTCAAACAAGGGTCAAACAGAAAATTTGCTAGCTGGTGAAATATAACTTGATATACACAGAACAGAAATGACTCAAATACAGAGAGACAACTCATAGAAACACAATTCTTAGGTACTTAGCCAGACTGGTACTTGAGTACTTGGATGTCGAATGTCAAACACAGATCAATCTCACTAACTCCTTTCACTTGTTCATCATCCTGGCTTTGTGGTCTATTCTTATCTCCAGTCATTTATGAGCATCTGTTACCACACACATTCATGCATACATGTCGTAACACAAATATAGTGCTTACACAGGTCCTTAAAGAGATAACACACCTAACTCCCACACATTTGGGCACATAAAAGAGTGACATGTCAAATAATGGACTTTTGTAAAAACTCTGACATGTTTTTAACCCTTAAAGATCCTCCTCCATAGCTCAAGTGTTCAATGTAGTCATAGGGATTTGTGTGACAGCTGGGCACAGATGTACTTAACATACTTATTCCACTACAAACAACTCCCAGCTAAAGCCACACACACACACACACGCACGCACACACACACACACACACACATATACACACACACACACACACACACACACACACACACACACACACACACACACACACACACACAGTGGCTTAACACAGATAACTGTTATCTATAAATAGAAATGACATCCTTAAAATGAATGAGATTATCACATGATAATGAAATGACATTAAATCATACAGATTAAATTATAAAAAATAATAATACTAGAAGCATGAGCCCTGTGTGAATATTTTAACTCTTTGACTCTTCCTCAACAGAATAGTTTCCTGGAGTTGGTGACACCTCGATCCTGGTCCTGCAGCTACCAGAGATGAAGCTGCCTTTGTTCTGGCCCAGAGTTATAAGTAATGTCAGGATGGAGGATTTTAAATCATGATGGACTGAAAATGGACCAGAGAGCGACAAAGAACTACTTGTACATAAATATGGTTTTCTGTTTTTAGTGTGTAATGACTCTTTGGGTCACTTTACTCCTTGTGTTGTTATTAAGTTGTCCTTGTGTCGCTGATTTATAACTTCTGTAATGTTTTAACTTTTTATATGTACCAGTATTATATACTGTTTATTTCAGGTGGTGTGAAAATGTTCCTGAAATTATATATTGTTTACCAAGTAGTGAAAGAATATCATACTGTAAAAAAAAATATTGCACAGGAATCAGTAGATAGCATGTATATACTTTGTTAACTGATAATTTAAAATAATGTGTTTGTTGAGTACTGATTAAAACTGGTGAGATCTGTAATGGAGATTAGATTGGATGTAAACCAAATTCTTGACCTTCGCGCACAGCCAATGCAAGCTTATTACCTCGTTACCAGTCGTCATGCTAAGCGAGGGTAGCAGCCTCTCGGCTCATATGAAATAAAAGATATGGGGAAATTTATAAACATTTTCCAGACTTTTTTGTATTTTCTTTACCTCCCTGGATGTAAATCATTAAGTGAGTAAATGTATTTAAATTGTGATATATGGTCTAAAGAACTTGTATTGTAAAGTTAGACATGTCTACAAAACCTGAGACAGAAGTTTTATTTTCACCCCATATCACGCATGTTTTTATTTGGAATCTGTTCAAACTTGTTGCAAACATTGCACAGTGAGTGTGTGTTGCTCGTTTAATCCTGCCTTGGTTAATGTTCAGGTGGCAGGGATTGGTCAGAAGCGCAAGTACCAACCAGCCACAGGCAGCAGCTTCTTATCAGTGTTTCACAAAGCCTGTGTTTGTCTGCCTGCCACCTCTGAAGTCATACATACAGGAAGAAGAGGATTAACATTTGCATTAGTGATGTAACGTGCTGTCAACTGATATACTGTAATACCACAGGAGCTCAGAGAGGCACAGCAAGGGCAGACAGTATCAATAGTAGAATTAAACATATTTCTGCCTAGTCAACTCTTTCAGTTTTATACACGAGTCAGAAGCAATGGGCTGTCATATTTTATGTCTTAGATGGATTGGATTGTGAAGTGCAGCCTTAAATGAGATGACTCAATCCTCTCCACAGAGCTGAATCTCAAATGAAGAAGTTGCTGCTTGAATCAAAGAATTGTAAAATTATATGATCAAATGATAACACTTATCAAATGATAACACTTAACATAACAATAACATAATACCCCCTAAATAAGGCAGAACTTAACCACTACAGGAGACAAAGGTTAAGAATGACATAAGTCACAGCATCATGCTGATTCCCTTACATTTTTACTTTTGTGTTGGAATAAAATGTTGTTTTTCATTTGGAGGCAATGTTTCTGGCCAATAGAAAGACAGGATTCGCTCTCCTTTATTTCTGGTTTCAGGATTATGAGAGAATATTTAGTCTTTAAATTAAACCAGTTTGCTCAGTAAAAACAGTCCAACTTAGTGTGTGTGCTGTTTTTTTTATATACAGGACAGGTATATCGCAAATGTGCCATAGCTGAAAACTGAAAACATCTGCCTGCTACTTTTACAAACAGGGTTGTTGAGCACGATTACATTTAGCCAAATTGCTAAATTGCTGCTGTAAAACTAAAGCAAAAGAGCTGAATGACACTCAAAAGCTCAGTAGAAGCAAAGATCCTGCAGATTCAGGTGAGAATTTTCTCGAGTTTTGTCTCTAAAAGTACAGTACTTTTTTGCGACAGTCATTTGATCCATTGATTTAATATACTGTATATATAAATAAATGTAGTTTTGCAGCTTTAACTTTGCAAATGTTTTACTGATATACTGTTTCAATAGATTTAAGTGTTACATGAGACTTACTCGTTGGTCAATAAATGACAAACATCTTCACATTGAGAGCCATTTCTTCTCTTCTATTGTCATATTAATTAGGTTGCATTATAAAAATCACATTTGTGTGAGAATGTAGGGCAATGTTCAGCCTGTTTACCTCTGCAGCTGCATCACAAAGGCCTGAAAGTAAATATGGAGTTGAAATACAAACCTCTGCTCAGAAAAAGGAGCAACCGCAAGAAATGTTTGGGTTTGGTTATAATATATAGATGGAAAATATGCTCAACTAGCACATGAACCATTTTGTGAGAGTGATTAAATTATTTCTCTCAGCACATTCTGTCCTCCAGCGGTCTCCAGGGGCTCCTGACATTAATATTTCCAGCTTCTCTGCTGAAAACAGATGATGTTCTGCAGCATTAGACAATAAAGGGATAAACAAAACTAAGTGACATTATAAATCCAGAGTGGGTTTTTTATTGTTTTATCAACTGGCAGGTTCGCCAAAGCACCATAAGAAACAAAGTGAGCGATAATCCGCCTTTATATATTTCCATGGCAGCAAGATGCATTCAGGAACAGTGGTTATAAAGCATGAGTAAACAATACAAAGAAAACATAACACCTTCAAGAAAGGGTTTAAAACATCGTCAAAGAAAAGCACAACTCAGACAGCTGCTTTCACACTTTGCACGCTATGTGCTACACTTCTTTTTTTTTTGTAAGCTGGCTGTGATTCTCAGGGGACAGAGACTGAAATGAATCAAATACAAGCGACGCTGCCTCTGAAGCACACTGAGCGGGAGGGGGAGGGGCAGCGGGACACACACTGCAGCCATGAACAGGGATTACAGATGAACACGCAGATACTCACATACTTCTATCTGAAATGCCAGCACAGTACAGCACAGCGCTGCTGCTGTGTGCTCGTGGATCTGTCTGTGTGTCTGTGCGTGTGTGCGTGTAATCATGTGGTGGGCGGGTATGTGAGTGAGCAAAATCAGCTTTGAGGAGTTGATCTGGAGCAAAGTGGCTCAGGATGCTGGGCAGAGCTGTGATTTTATTCCCTAATGTTCGTGGACAACATTTATAATCAGGGTTTAAGGGAGCACACAGGTTAGGGAGGACGGGCAGATTTTAGACAGACTCTCACAGCGTAACATAATCATCAGAAATCAAACAAAACAGACTTTCAAGCATCTCTCAGCAAAAATATAATCAAAAGGAAAGGGAAAAGACAACCTGAAATAACCTCATTAGATAGCTGCCAGCTTGATGACAACAAACTCTCCTTTCTGCCTCTTTTTCACCAACACATCTCTAACCTTAAATGATCGCACTATGTGGCACACTCGTATGATCATAATGTTCTTCAGTGTTACTTTAGACAGGAAGAGGAGGATAGATTTCACTCATTATACTGGAAGTGCGCAGACACAGTAAATCTGTCCAACAGATTTTGTGTGGGCTAGCAGCGGAGGTTAAAAGTCATAATAAGTCTTGGCAGTAGAAATATGCGGCAGGAACCGCATGATGACTACGAAGACGAGGATATTGAGACTTCATCGAGTCATATGACTGCACATCTCGGGTGATTTGAACCTCAGGGATCCTACATAGTGTGGCACAATAACAACAACAGTGTAACAAACGGGGGGGGGGATTATTTTTTCCACAGTACTGACTTCATTTCTCAGTCACCTGACAAGAGCAGAGGAACCAATTAATCGCACAAAATAAGAAAGAAAAAATAACACTCATGAGCTTGAAGTTCAAGTGCGGCAAAGACGTTCAATTTTCAGCTGGAAGTAAATCAAGTGAAAGAAGGATACAGAGGGGCTTTGGTCCTGGTCCCATTAACGTCCAAATGCTTCAAAAGAGCAGAATAGACTGCAGTAGATTTTTAAACACAGGTGCTTTGCACAAAGACTAACATGACTACAGTCTTGCTTACATTAAGAAAATAAAACTGCAAAAATTAATACAATATCTACACATTTTAGCTCAGTGCATAATGGATGTCTCTTCCATTTCTCCTTGTCAAATCTATACAACGCTGTATAGGAAACTCCCTTCAGTGTTAAAGCGTAACAGGCGAGGAATGCTCTTGTTTAGAATCGGTTCTCAATTGGTCTTGGCATCACAAAGTCCTGGGCCAGAGCCTTCCTTATTAAGTAACAGACATAGACTTTGTTTACATGCAGAGTGTGGCCTGACTGCAGGCAGTCGGAGATCCCTGCTCGTATTAACTTTCTGGAGGCTTAGCTGCTCACATTAGCATTCATGTGACTGTCAGTGGTAGTGCTAGAGGCTTAAGCATGCAGAGACATTAAGACTTTGTTCATGTTTGTAATGAAAGAAAAGCATGCTGTTTAAGGAAAGATCATCTGGAACAGTATCATCACGTTGTTAAACACAGAATGTTTTTTTGTATACATGAGAAAATAATCATAACTTATCAATGTTGAATCCAGCACCATTTGAAAACATCCAAACAATTTGGTTTCTTTATTCAGCAACTTTGACTTCTGTGAGGGAGTTTTGCTCGGCCTTCCTAGAGAAACGATACTTTTTAATCTTTGCAGTAACTGTAGCATTCCTCACTTTAAACAAACATAAAGAACCTTCATTACTTTGACCTTGTTAAGAACACGTCTTGCCTTTGCATTGGGAAAAAATGGATCACTAAAAAGTCTGACATTGACAGGGTCACTGAGTTGTATGCTCTTTTCAGAGGTTTGGATATAAAAATACATGAGATTATAAAACAACATTTTTTTCTGGCTTTGATTGTATTACCGTAGGATAACCATTATGTACCTGTTTCATTTTTGACTTCATTTTGTCTTGAAGTCATTTCTTTGCCATTTCTTCCATTTTATTCTGTGCATCACTCTTCTAGGCCTCTTCACAAACATTAAGATTTCACATAGCCAGCCAACTTATTTTTGAGCGCGCTGCCTCGCCAGTCGCTTCATGAAGCAGCAGGTCACCGTTGCGATGATGACGATGCCAACAAACAAAGCAGAGGATACTCCGACAACCAGAGGGATGAGGAGGAGGTCAGCAGCTGGGGAAAGAGAAAATCAAAAAGAGAGAAAAGCCATGATGCAAACAACTGTACAAGGGAAATACAGTAGGATGTGCTTAAGTTGTATTTTAGGTCATATTTATGGACTACATGCATTTATATGGATTTTTAATATTTGGGGAACACATATTGATCAAAAGCAAGTTAATGGGCTGACCTTCTAACAAAAAGCAAATGTGTTCTCAACCTAGAGTCCACCAGCATGTAGAGTAGAAAACAGGTCATCGACCCAAAGAGTAAAAAAATAACACCAACAACTAGGATGTTAACAGTGATGGACATAAAATCATTTTGCTCTTTGAGAAATATTTTTATTTTAGGAATTTTATGATTTTAACTCTAAAATTTAAATATCCATCTGTTGATTGTTTGATAAAAGAATCTTTGATGGCAGTCCTTTTAGCTAGAAATGCCTTTTCTTAGTCTTACAAAATGTCTGCTGCAGGGGACTGTAAAGTGCACGTTTACATTCGTAAGCTGTAAATGAAGGAGGACTTTGACCTGCAATCAGCTCGAGGGAAGAAGGATGTAGAGGTTAATCAATAAATCTACTTTAAATGTGCATACATCACTCTAGGTTAAGACTCAAGGCTTGAAATTTACACTTGACATTTAGACAGGAAACCCTCAAGCTTGTGACCGAAGGTTGCTTTTTTGTTCAACCTGTCCGATTTCCAGACTGTGATAAATCTGGAGGGAAAGTGAAAGGGCAGCACTTGCCCGACAACCCCGACGGTACCGTCTCTGTAGCCAATCAGACGGGAAGATTCCTTTATTAAGATGTCAATGTGTTTAGACCGTGGGCTTTAAAAGGAGAGCTGTGAAAAAAGTACATTCAAAGGATTTGTCTGTGATATTTGACATTATCCACTATGACTAAAATGGATTATAAATCCTAACTTACCTCTAGCATAGAGGTAAACAGTCACTGCATTTGACTCCGCCCTGGTCCCTGTGTTGTACCAGCCTCCATGCGGGTCCTGCCCCCAAGCCTCTGCATGACACGCATACATTCCCTGATCCTCCATTGTAGCTGTGTGGACCCTCAGTCTGTAGCTGACAGCAGACAGGCGGTCGATGCTGACCTCGCTTGTGTTGGTGTAGATTTTCGAAACGCCATCGTACATGAGGGCAGCTACCACTCTGGGTTTGTCGTCAACAGGGGGGGCTGGTAGAGTGAGATCAGGAGTCGTGCTCTGCCCTCTCCTGATAAACGGTGCAGGGATCGGCCAGCGCAGCCACTGCACCTGTGCCTGGGCGGGACCCGTAGTTGTCACAGTGGCGGTGCAGATCAGTGTGATGGTGCTGCCTCTTTTCAACAGGGGGCCTCGAGGGAGCTGAGCCACGGCTGAAACTAGCACGTCTGTGGAAGAAAGTGGCAAATTCAAAGATAGAAAATAACAGAGTATACTAAAACAGAACTCTCTATATTTCATCTGTTCAATCAAAGTTAATCAATCTACATTTATTAGGTAATCTGAGTTCAATCAAGTTAACATGCATTTATAATAAGAAGTGAACCAAATCACAGTTTTACTTCTTTCAGTCTTACCTTGAGCAGTTTGATCTATACTGACTTCATTTTATATTTCATCTTCCATTTCTCAGAAATAGACAAAGTTTTAGGAATTTACTGTAAACTTAAGAAGGTTTAACTAAAGCTGGATCAGGATTTTAGCCTTAGATTTGACCAATTAATCTATTACTATCTGTGGATGTGGCCACCCATTCACCTCACATTCACACACTGATGGCTGCCACGTAAAGTGCCTAACTGCCCTTCAGCACTACTCCACATGCATTCACACACACAGCAGCGGAAACAATTACTTCAGTGTTGAGTGAGTTCAGTGCCCTGGCACAAGGACACTTCGACATGTGACTACAGGAGCTGGGGATCGAATCCTCGATCCATTGGGCCACAGCCATTTTTTTTATCTTACCCTTTCAAATGTTTATCCATTTCTTCAAAATTGCATTTGAACAGTTTCCCCCCGTCCCATTAATTTAAGCTATCTATATTAAGACCTAAATGCTAATTTTTCATGAACTCTGATTTGTTTAAAAAAAATTTACAGTGCAGCTGCTCCGCTAGCTTTCCTCACCTCCACTTGCCACTACAACCAAATCCTGTAGCTGTTACCCTTCTTTGAGAATGAGAGATATGGATAGAACTCTGTTGGTGTGTTACACCTCTCTTGACTTGACTCTCACCTTTGGTCTTGAGGTTGACAGTGACTCCCTCAGACCTCTGGGTGTGTGTTGCAGGTGTAGAGGGACCAGGGTTTCTTCTTCCAGCGTATACGCTCACTACACACCTATACACACCGGAGTCTAGAGGGCGGGCTGAGAACAGCTTCAGAGAGTACTTTCCCTCTGACACTTTCTCCATGGAGCCCCCGCTAGATCGGCTGAGGTCGTCCCCCCAACTCACGACACCATCTGGGCTCATCCGGGCCACCTCCACCTGATCAGAAATTAAAAGATGTCAGGACGAGTTAGAATGTAAGCAGGAATTACGTTTTTGAGGGCATCTTAACAAAAAATGTATGAAATGTATAGACTAGGTAACTGTTTTTTTTAAAGTATGCCGTAGATTGATCAATAATGTCCGTTATCTGCAAACATTAAGAAACCATGATAATAAGTTTCTTGAAGGAAAATATACTGTTTGACAGCCATTTCTCACATGTCATTTATCAGAATTTGCTTCCAGCACTTGGACAAAACATTTATTGTCCATCTGTATGAAACAATAACGCGACTTGGACAGAAAATATATATTGCCTTAATAATGTCTGTGACTGATCCTCTACCTGTGCTTCAAATAAAATCTATTTAAAATCAATCTATCATCATTAAAGGAATTTTATTAGACTGTGAAGGCAAATCAGTCTAATTTTTTCCTTCAAGTTGTTTTAATGATAACATTTGTTAAATACATCTTTCCATAGTTGTAAGATTCCAAACACACACTGATAACTGCTGTAAAAAAAGACCTCAGCATAAACAAACAGCAGCATCTCTGCCTTGTCACACAAAATAAAAAAACACCCATATTGAACAAAAAAACCTGTGAACAACAAAAAACATTTTAGTCCAAGGATGTCTAAAAAATCTGGATCAGTACCTCCACTCCCCCGGCTACAGCTGTGTCGCTGCTTACTGATCCCCTCTTCATCCATTGAACGAGCAGTCCGGAGTTCACATCAGACGGCATCCCCAACACCTCACAAGTCAAGATGAGAGGGGAACCGATCTGCAGGGTCACCTCCCCTCGGGGTGAGGATGTTATACTCAGTGACTCGGCTGGGGAACAGAAGAGCCAGAGAGAGAGAGCGAGAGAGAGAGAGAGAGAGAGAGAGAGAGACAGCTTAGTGAGTGAGAGTGAAAGCATCGGAAATCCTCCGTGGTGGAAAGACTCAAAGAAGTTCTTAAGTCTGTGACAGTAAAAATCTGAAAAGAAACTAGTAAAATCTGAGTGTAGCTCCTTTGCAAAAGGATAGCAGGGCAGTCATAACATGATGTGACTGCCAGAATGAAATAGATTGAGACTGTATTTGGTTCTGAACAAAAATAAGTAACTTGTTTTACTTTGTTAAATGAAAGGGTTTCATATAGTCAGTGCTGATAGCCTGGTATAATTAGAAGGTAGATTTGTCCATTGTGTGAGCGAGGCCTTATTCAACCACAAGACTTCTCCAAAACACAGCTCTGCTCAATAAGAGACACATTATTGATGTGAACAAAAGGAGACATGTCAGACTATTGTATTAGTCAGACAGCAGGGGACAGAAAATCCTGAACTAAATAGTGCCTGTCAGCATTGTGTGTGAGAAGAAACAATGCATGCATTGAACAGATTTGATTCTTCAACTCCAGCTTCAGTTTTAATGCTGAACAGAAAATGATTTGACCTACATTTCTTTGAGCTCTCAAACTTACTACTATTGAGAATAACGTATAACTTTGCTCCAGTCCAAGTCAACAAAAAATAGTTTTTTACTTTGTCCTTGAATTTATGTTAATGGGGTTACACAGATGAAGCTGCTATAGAGGAAAAATATTCTCAGTCAAAGACAAAAAACAATCTAAAATAAACTGTACAATCCAGAATATAAGTCACACGTGTATATAAGATGCAGCCCATTTTTTTATATGAAAAAATAATGAGTATGACAAGTCTGTCTTATACACACAATTTGATGGTAGTATAAGTTAATCTGCCAAATTTCACAATACAAAATGTACACAGTTTGAGTAGGAACTGCTGGGCAGAGCTGTCCTGACAGTAATGGAGACACCAGTCTGACAGAAAGATACTCATCCTCTCTGCAGGATAGATGAGGCCAAGGTGAGAGAAATGATTTCAGCCTTTAGATCAACACCATCTCTTCAGAATGTAAAGCGAGCCAAGTGGAAGAGCAGTGAAGCAGTTATAAAGCTGCTCATGCTGCAAACTACTGAACCTATCAAAGCCAGAGGGATGTTCAACAAGAGGCCCGAGCGCCAAGCCTGTCAGTCAGGCGCTCTGACAGCTGACAGCCTGAACTGATAGTAAAAGCAGAGCTGCAGATATTCAGAAAACTTGTCAGACATTTTCAGGTAAGTAGAACATTTCTAAAAAGAAAAACTAAAAAAAAGAAGAACAAAACGGGACCTTGAAACTTTGTTGTTTTATAGACTGAAGATTAATCAGGAAAATAAACCAGCAGATAAACCAATAAAGAGAATTTGCTGCAGCCCTAATTCTAAGATGTCCATCCATCCTCCAACAGGTTATGTGTGAGTGACAAGAGCTACACAGTTACCACCCAGCTATCCCTGCAGCTAATCAGAACCCCAAGCACGCTCTCTGTCCAAACAAGCCAACAAACAAGGCAACAAGCTGCCTATCTGTCCAGTCAGTACAGCGCTCAATCTGCCAGCCAGCAAACTAGACATTCAGCTAAGCTCCAAGTAACACAAACACCCAGCCTGAAACCTGGACAAGGTCCAGAGTGCTCAACAGCACTAAACATCCAGGCCGACTGACGCCACAGGGAGAGAGCTAAGAGTCTTTAACTGACAGGGAGAAACCAAGCGTCTGTCGATTTGTTTTATTCTGCAACTGAGAAGCCAATTTTATTTCCTGATATCTTATTACCTCAGTGTGGCTCACTACTTCACAAAGTGCCTGTTTAAGGATTGTATTACTAACTTCTTTGTAAGGTATGCTTGTGGTAGTACATTGTGACACTGGAAAATGTTATCATAGTTTGGGAAATATTAATAGTTGTTTTTAATCACACTGACCTAGTTGCTGAACAGTCAAGTTGCCAATATCCAGAGTCCTCTGTGCAATCTTCTGCCAAGATCGGTCAGGGTCACGAATCCACTGAGAGGCTTCACAGAAATATGAGCCCGTGTCGTCCGGCTGCACCATCTTCATCTTCATCACGTACACAGCCAGCCCCGCCTCCCCATTCCTCTTCTCCAGCGTGATCTCTCCGTCATCATACCTCTTCTTGTACCCACGCCCAGGAACGATCCCCAGCATCTTGTCGATGGAGATTATCTCTCTAACGTTGCTCACCTCCCCTCCAGCGCCATCGCTCCCTGTGCCCTCTCCTCCGCTCCTCTTCCCAAACGTGACAGACAGGTGGGTGAGCTGCTCCGATTGGATGCCAGCTGAGCATGTCAGTGTTAATTCAGCCCCCTCTGGCACAGGCTGACCAGTGAGCGAGCGAGTGTAGCTGATCTGGAGTGTGTCAGGGATCACTGCAGAGACACAAATAGACAATGATATTACATTGAGCGGCTAGAGGAGCCAAACAGGAAGAAAAAATACCTCAAATTTAATTTCTCACCCCTGTCTGCTGTTTATAGACTTTTCTATATCTTTGAAAACAGAATCTTTTCATGAAACAGGCTCGCTGTGACTGAGTGAAAGCCGTTTGCCAGCCTTTGGCTTTTGGCACCAGCTTTGCCAAAGAAAGGGGGATTAACTGCCTGTTATAAAGATAAAACTCTTCAGCAGCAAATTTAACACCACGCACCCTGCCAACATCAACCTCACACTAAAAGGATGCTGAGGGGAGACATCACTGACGACCTATTGGATGGCAGATTATTAACACAAACTTCAGCAGATGGATTATGTGACGACAAAGAGAAAAAGAAGAGTTCAAACTCCAGATGTTGAATGTAAACAACCGTTTATAAACCCAGTCACACACAAAATATGATTGATGCATGACAAATGTGGCTGATGTAGTAAATCTTTCAGAGCCCTCATGAAGGACCTTGAATGACCTGGTTGCTGGTTTCCATTCTATTGAACTCAATTTTGCATTCATAATTTTTTTCAGTTAACAAAAAGCCTTCATTTAAGAAATATTAAAATTTATTTTACAAAACAGACGTTGAAGGTTGTATATGAACACAGTCAAACACTTAATTACCTTGATAATAAATTATGGAAAAATTAATGAGATTTCAGGTTGCTAAATTCGCATTAAAGGTGAGTTACTTTTTTCTTGTTTAATTTATGTTCCCCTTTTTAAACTTGCATACCTATATTATTTAATGGTCCATTTCTTGCTCCTTCATTTCTGACTTCCAGCACATTCCTGTTTTTTACTCAAGTCTTGAAGTTAAACTGAAGGAATGGGATATGAATGTACCTTATATTTTTGGGTAAATCCTGCAGAGTTTGCTGCAAATTCTGGTAAATCAGTCGAAAATATCAATTAAAATACTCTTGAGGTTAAAAAAAGAAAAGAAAAGCGTGTAGCTTCTTCTATAATAGGTTTTATGGCTGCTATTATGGCCAGGACTCTCTTAAAGTGATTTCTAATCTCAGTGAAGCCTCTGTCTGAATTTAGCCTCACCTTTGACAGCCACTGTGGCGCTGTAGTTCCCCTGGTACGTTGTGTCTGTGCTGGGTGTGTAGCACTCGTACTTCCCCTGGTCCTCAGCCCGAAGCCTCTGGATCACCAGCTGGACTTTGTCCCCCGAGTCCCTCTCCACCCTCACCTCCCCGTTCTTCACCCGGGGCTGAAACGGGGCGTAAGGGAAGCCTTTGTCCCTGGTGGACACGACTCCCATCTGCCTCCCAGCAGCATCGTCCCTGTACAGGAACCACTCGAATTCCTGCGTGCGCGGTCCCTCAAAGCCCGACACCGAACACGGCAGGGAGACTTGGAACCCTGCGACGCGGTAGAGGGTTCCAGTGGGAAGTGTTACGTCGCGACACACAGCGTAGTGGATCACTGTGGAAGAGAAACGGAGAGACAGAAATGTTGTTAGGAGAGAACAGAAACAGTAACTATGTCATCTGTGTGGGTCAAAGTCTTGCTTGAAGCATTTAATTTGTACATGGACTCTGATCAATATCCTGATCTGATGAGCGACTAACAGACGATCAATACATTAAATAGCTCAGGAGGTAAACACCAGGGCTGGGCTACTTCCTTTGAATACAATTAGACATTTAATTATAGGAATACAATTATCTAAGTGAATGTTATAACTCACTGTTTAATTTGTTGGTTAACTTAAGGCACAGGTTGCTAAAAACAGAATAAAACTAGTTTGAACTGTCAAAGAAAGCTTAAAGCCCCTGTGAGGAGTTTTAGCTGATAATGAAACAGACTGAAATGAATACGGATTCCTCTTTATGACCTACAAAAGCAAACAACACCAAGAGAAATTAGACTGATTATTTCTGTATTGTTATTTTCAATGTGTGAAACTGCTGCTACAGGGTAGGTGTCAGATGAGGAGATAAAAAGCACGCTGAAGATACAGCTTGGATTTTTTTTTACATTTTCTACAGCAATGATTCAAGCAGTACACTTCCCTATTAAAAGTGAACAGGATTCGATTATTAGTTTAAAAAAAATAGAAAGCTACTCACACAAGTACAAGGCAAAATATGGTAAGCAAAGGGATACCCATTTGTCCACAGGGGGCGCCAAAACCAACCCAAACCATAACCTCCTCACAGGAGCTTTAATGTTTCAGATTTTTTAAAGCAGACTTGATGTCACTCTAATACAGTGAAGAGGGTTTTTTTTAAATTATTGTTTAAGATATAAATCACTTTCTCAAACAAAACATTATTGAGAAATCAGTTTTGTTGGAAAATAGTGACAAATACTGATTTTGACATCCAATAAGCCAAAAGCGACGTCTGTGCTATTCTTCTCCAGTTTAAAGTCCAAAACCAAAAAGTTTTCATTTGACTGTCACTCAGGACAAAGACAGGTGGCAGAATATCTTGCCTGGGATCATTCTACGAGAAGTGTTTGTCATTTTTTTCAAACCCAAAAGAAATCTCAATGATTACTGAAATACAGAAATCATTGCTGGCTAACCGACTGTCCATCACTAATCATCTGAGCTTTGAAAAGAACATTTGACAAACTCAACAGTAAAATCTTAACACAAAATGTGTTTCCCGGTTAAAGAAATTCATCATTCTGCAGAACTCTAAACTTGTTTTTTCCTCTGAATTCAAAGTAGTTTAGTAGGCTGTTTGCTGGCAGTGTTTCTCTTTCTTCTCCATCAAACAGTTCACGATGAGTTCTGTGGGTCATTGTGAGCAGCTGTTATCATGTTTAGAGAAATATGTTGCTGCTGAGTTTAACAAATGTAGTTTTTCACCGCTAAATGTAGCAAAAAAACATGGCTAAACCTCATATTCCCTGAGTGAGAAGACTGAACTCGAGGAAAAGGGGAAAAATAAAACGACCTCTTCCACATCCCCTCAGTGTTCAACAGCCGCTTGGCAACAAAGCAGAGTTTCAGAGTTATATTTATGAGTAAAAACATTCAGTATGATGGCCTCAGGGCCGAGAGCAGCTTCCAGGTTCAGGCCTCATTGTATTTCACTGAGTCTCATTGTCTGGCTGCATACCCCACTTCCCCTGAAACATCTCCAAAATAGTTTTAGGCACAGACCACACTGGACTATCTAAAGACTGAAATCTCATGAAGACAGCCCCTGACCAAAATAATCACATGTTCTTATCAAGTCAGTCAAATGTGACAGGACACACACAGCAAGAAATGTAACCATTTCTTTAAGCACTTGTTTTTTTATTTTGAAAAGCGAACATATGTTAAGGTGGATAATTATCTCTTCTAAAATAAGGAAGCAAGAAAAGTTTTTTTTTTAACTGGCTCTATGAACATGGTCTGTTTACATTTCTTCTGTAATACAAAAATACATTTCATTTCCCATCATTTGTTGCAGCAGGAGCTTTATGTGGTCATTTTGACAAACTGATTAGAAAAAGGGCAATATAGAGGAAAGATAACCGAAATAACAAAAAGAAATGATAGCTAACAAAAAGCTGTGCTACAAACTATGGAAACACAATAAAAAATGGATGATCTACCCTTTTCCCTCACACCAGCTGAGATAAATAAACTCAACAAGAAGCAGCAGTCCAAGGACATTCAAAATCAGAAAATAGAAAAAGATATATATAAGTTAGTAAGGGCATTGAACAAGAATCTGATTCACTGTAGTCATATAACGGACAATAAGGGCTTAATGAGGTCAGAATCACCGTGTTAAACAGTGCAGACTTAATGAGATAAAACTATTCAAGATGGAAACCTAAACAGCTCTCACAAAAAAGGTTGACTGATATTAACTGAGCTTTAGTTGTTTAGGAGGTTTAAAAGACAATCTCCTGAATAACGTGTACCAAATTGCAAAATAAGATATGATCATTCAAACATAACTGTCTACAAACAAAACCCAAAAAACTGTCAATCAACAAAGTATTAACCAACACACCCATTTACTGTCACCTTAAACTGACAAACACCTGAACAACTAGAAATGCTGGACAGGTGAGTTTTGCCACTCCCCACCTCTGTGTGTGTGTGTGTGTGTGTGTGTGTGTGTGTGTGTGTGTGTGTGTGTGTGTGTGTGTGTGTGTGTCAGACCTAAAATCAACAGAAGATTTCTCACAGGCCGAGGCACGGCCCGATGACAACACACCCGTAGATAATGACATGGGAGACTAGTGGGAGGCTTAAGCGGATCAAGTCCTAATTAACATTGGGCTAGGACTGATAGGTCTGGGGGACACGGCGGCTTGTAACAATGCTCGATACTCTCTGGATTACATACTGTGTGATGAAGAGGAGGAGGGAGCCCCCAGTTTCCATAGGGAGCCACGAAGAGATGCATTTTAGAGCACAGACTGATTGTCCGTGTGGTTGTTATTATTTATACTATATCTTCAATACTATAAAAAGTGAAAAGAGAGAAACAGAGGAGCAGTATTATTCAATATGACACTTCTGGCTGTCGTCATTAAATCTATTTTATATCAGAAATAAGAGAAAACAGAAGAAGCCCAGACTGCGGTAGAAATATTGACCCCGTTTTTAGTCATGTGTTTGGTTATCACAATCAGTATTTAGGAGCACAGATGAGCACCCTCTCTGCAGCATCTCATTATTCCACATCAGAATCACAATCAGATTTATTGGCCAGGTACGCTTACACACACACAAGGAACTTAACTTCGGTGAGCTGTGCTCTCTTATGTACAGGTACAACATTAAACATCAGAGTCAAGATATTCAAATGCTGTTTCATCAATGCTTTGATGGGGTAACAAAACAGCAAGAAACATTTAGATTTGCATGAGCCTTAACTTTAAAACATAAATTAACTATCTGCAATACTAAAAACTTGATTATTACTGTGAAATACCAATAAAAAAGTCTCATTGACGAAGAATATTTTTTGCTTGGGACTTCCTGGATGACTCCCGGAACCCGTTGTTATTTTCCAAAACACCTGTTTCTCCTGAGTCAAGTCACGTAGCCCACTCTCAGTGAGATATTGTTTGATATAGTGGACTGTTTGCGGTGTGATCAAAGGAAAAATAACCACTGGTATCTAGGTCTACCACTGGAATGTGAAACACTGATAAGAGAGCAACAAAACGACCCACGGGGAAGGAGTAGCGTTTGGAGGCGACAACAATGGCAGCAGAGACGATCTACAAATCTACATGATGCCGATGATGTATAAATGAATAATCTGATTGGGCGGCTTCTAGAAACAATCACGCAAATGCGCGTCGTGACAGATGGCAGAGCGCTTTGAGTCGCTGTGCGCAGAGGATTCAAAGCAGGTACAAAGTCACTCACCCCCGTGTACGAATACGAATAATGCTGTTTTCATCGAAGCCATCATGGTCCTCATCTTCCCCCCCAGCGTCCAGATGGATTATGGTGACTCAGATTTCTCTCTCCGTGTTCCTGTGCTCGGTTATCGCCAATCATCCCGCCGCGGAGTCCGACTGTCTGCACAACCAAACCACAGACACGATGCGGTTATTATAAAGGGGGAAATAGATGACAATGTGTGGGAAAAAAAAAAAAAATCAGCAAAAGAGAGATTATGCTGCACAGGAGTTAGCGCTATCATGGGGCACTGAGGCGCACCTATGTTTACATTTAATTATCTGCAGATTTAATCACCTTTTTCATGCATCTCCGTCAACACATCAATTCCTCCATAATATCCAGGTTTTGGTTTCAGATTAAACCGCCTCCTCGACAGACATGCCGTCCCAGTACAGCCATGGGGCGGATAGCATCACAGGGGGTTGGGTGTGTGTGTGTGTGTGTGTGTGTGTGTGTGTCAATAGAAAGGAGGCGGTGCATGCATGTTAAAGAGGCTCCGAGAAAAGAAATCAAAGAGGTGCCATTGGTCGAGAAAGAGACGATGGCATTTTGAACCAATGATAGCGAGGCCGTTCAAACACCATCATCACACCGCTAGAGGGCGCTGCAGTAAAACACATAAGTTCCTGAATACATACATGACCCGTCAGGAGTGTAAATGATTAATAAAATGTGGGTTTTTTTTCCAGTGTCATGTGTTGTACTGTGCTATGTGGCCTTGCTTTTAACCATGCAAACACAAACCTTTGCAGATATCATAGGGACGTGTTGTGTCGGTGGCATTGACTTAAATATTTACACAACTTGATTTTGACAAAACAACTAAAGGCTTTGGATGAGTTACGACCAATTCTTGTGTTTTCCTGCACATATGAGCTTTTCAAGAATATGCATCTGAAGTGCTAAGACTACAGATGTGGCCACGACTGATTCTTGCGTCATTGCTGCAAATGCTGAAATAAAAAAAAATGTCCACAACGTTTGTCCATTTTATTATTGGAACTTAAAAAAATAAAAATGAAGTTTGCTTTGTTGTTTTAAAATGCTGGACAAAAACCTTCCTAAACATGCAGTCTTGTGTAATGACTTATAAAAGGACAAATAAAAAGGAAATAGAAATGAGTGGAGGTATTTCCTTTTTATTAATGGTAGTATTCAGCCAGGCTTTCTTAATGAGATGCAGTCACTCCTGAAACAGACCAGTAGACATGATATAAAATCTAGAGCCAAAGGACATCACTATCCAAAATCTTAATCAAGGTTATGTCTATTGAATAGAAGTTAAAGGTACAGTTGTTTCTTGCATTTGTTCCTCTTTTTCTCTGGGTTTTTATTTTCTGTCTCTATAAAAGCTATATCACAACAAAGCATGAATAAAATATAAAACGTCAAATATCCTCTTTTACTTGGACTCTTGTATTTGTTGGCACGTTTGTGTTTCAGGTCATGAGCTTGCAGCTCTCTCGAATTAAGCTTGTAAGTCAAAATCGGAAAATTCTGATGTTTGTCACAAGGGAACCAAATTTCTAGTATGAATATTATTTATTACAACTGTGTAGTTCACTTCCCTACAATACAGCATACAACCTTTTATTCAATATATATATATATATATATTTTTTTTTTTTGTGCCTTTACTGTAGAGAAAGGACAGTGGATAGAGTTGGAAATCAGGGAGAGAGAGTGGGGAATGACATGCAGGAAAAGACCCACAGGTCAGAGTTGAACCCGGGTCTCCTGCTTGACCACCTCCTCCGTACATGGGTCGTGCACACTAACCACTAGACTACCAACGCCCCAGAATGCATCTTTTTTTGTTCTCCTTCTTATAACCCATGTATCCATGAATCTCTGCACATAGACCTGGATACATGCATGTGACTCCAGGGTTTGTGTCTAGAGTCAATGGAAAAGGCTTTTTTTACCCTCTAATCAACTGCATGGTCTTCCATGTGCATACATAACTAATCTATTTGTGTGTATTTGAACCAGCCATTTCTATTTGAACAACAATTTAAAAATATAAAGCACAGGGGTTATTAATAGACTTAATCTTAGTTTAATTCAAATGTAACTTCTTCAGTGTCAGAGCCCCAGTGTTGTGTATGCCAATACATTGTTACACTGTCATAGCTTGCAGGGATACTTGACCACCACTGTGATTTATTTAGTGTGAAAAAGGTCAACATGTCCACTAAGAGGAGAAGTGTATTTCCTCAGTTCTCTTGTGCATGTGTTTATACAGAAATGTATGTTTTGGTTGTTATGGTGTTATTATAGTTTTTGTACAACTTGTGTATTTTTGTGGCTGGGCCTCATTTGTTTTCTGTCAATGAAAGATTTTTGTGTGCGCGACTTGTGTTCAAGACCATAGCTATGATGATCACATATGAAAATAATTGTGTTATAGACTCAACCACAAGATGGCAGCAACCAATTGATTCACTGAGCTCCATTCATCAACGCTAAGGAAAAAGACAGCAGAGTTACCACTAAAAAAACTTAATTCAAATAACAATACAAGCACATGACAACATAGTTGTTTGTTTGTGTTACTACTTACTAAAGTTATTGATATACTGTATCCATAATGATCTTTTGTTCATGATACTGTATTCCTTATATATTGTAAATACCTTCTTTTGTCCGTTCTCGGTTCCTTAGCTTTGAATCATCCATACAGTATATGAGGTTTTTAGAACAACAATGTTCACGAGCTGACAGTGATGTAAAACAGCGATAAAACCAAACTTACATTTCTGTGGCCTACAGAAGGCAGGAATGTAGCAGAGCTGCTACATTCCTGCCTCCTCCTTCGCTCTCTATCCTTTTTAAATGTAACATCTCCCTAAGGAAATTCAAAAAGTGAGTCTGATCACTTGTGTTTCCACACTTGAAGCAGAGTCAGGAGAAAAAAAATCAAAGCTAAGCGAAAATAAATTAAGAAAAATGCAGGATGGGGCAGGATATGGTCCCATATGTGGTTATGTGTATAATGTAGGATGTTCACTGTTGGACACTCTGAGGAGGATTTATGCCATCACATCACAGCTCATTAGTGGTACCAGTGCTCCATCCTGTCTAGTTTCCTCTCCTTTCCTTTCCTTCCCTCCTCTCCTCACTTTAGGCTGCATGGAAATGGATGACTTCACAGTGCGGCTCGGCAGCCAGAGAGGGGAAGTCATTAGGGTATTCTGGGTTAACAAGGCGGCGAGCGGGATGTGCAGACTTCAGCAGGAGCCTACAGCGGCACTGAGGGATGGCACTCATGCAGAGTAAACTTCCTCACTCTTATGGCCTCCAATACATCACCGTTTTTAACCAAGTTGGACGTTTGGAGCATGATGTAGTCTGATCCACTTCCAGGGGAATAAACCTCTAAAAAGCTGCATTGATCTGCATGTTGGTTGTTGAACAAATAATTGTGAATTACACATGACAGCCATCATAAAAGCCCAAACTCTTTTCTATTGAAGTTTGTACTTTTAAATACTTTATTCCAATGTTACCTTCTAAGAGTTACTAGAAGTGAAATCTTTATTAAACATGCAGCCAGGGATAGGAGGTAGACATATCTTACATCTGACGTCTTTGTACTTTTGCGTATTTTATTTTCTTCTTCGTCTTTCTTCAAAACAAAACCCAAGACATTGGACGATCAGTCGACGATAGACAGAATCTGAATCAGATCATACTATATATGTTTGTAAATCCTTGGTAAGAGACACCCTGAGTTCAAAATGCAAAAACAATTTAAAAAATGCTGTTTTTGGAGGGTGCTGTAAATTGCCTCATTATGACAACTACCTGGCAGAAGAATTTGAAGCATTAATAATGACTTTTGCTTTTGTAGCTTATATTGAGAAATCAGTATTAATCTCATTTTGTTTCATAACCCGTTAAAAACTCCTCACAGGAGACACGCATCAAGAACAAACTCACTTCAGTTTCAGCTCTCATTCACCTTTTCACCTCCTTCTTCTTTGTGCCCTCACTCCCACTCTGTCTCTTTTAAGGCCACTATAGACTAAACTGTGACCTACTGGAGCCTGCCTCTAATTACTTTGTACAGTCACTGTAGTCAGGCACACACCCCTGTCATCGGTGGGATTGAACGAGATGATCCTTTCACCGTGTGTGGCATCTGTTCACACCGTAGGTAAAGACATGGATTTGCACCTTTTGTTCATTTATCTTGCTCTGAAATTATTTTCTTAGGCTCAGATGGACTCAGGTTCTGTCTCTTAGTGTTTGTTTTCTCGTCCACCTCTTCATCCTGTCACCATTTCTCATGTCCCGGACACGGTTTTAAGAGTACAACTGGGTCCAAAAACTTCCTCACACATACAATACATACAAACGTATCCTGGTGCTGACCATAGATCATCCTCGCACAAATCAAACACATGTATACATGTTCTATAAATGGGCTCCATTTGTTCCTCAGTTCTGTCAGCACTTTTATGACCGTTCTGTCTCAGTCTCACCGCCGTACGGCAAGACACACATCCAGTCAGCGGTGGTGATGGAGGGACCACTGCTAGACCAAACAAAGAAAAAAAGGGGACAGAGACGTGTACACATACAGCTAATTTACTGCTGACAGGATATTAATAACTTTCTCTCAGAGGGCCTTTGGTTTTCTAGGTTTCCTTTCTTTATTACAGAACGCAACAACAATGTTTAGCTAAGCTTTCGACCGCATCGCTCGGCTTCTTTTGGTCACTGTCTTGGACTGGAAATGTGTGAGGTTAATCAGTCAGTTTTTCTTGGAACTGACGACTTTAAAAAAAAAAAAATCTTATAAGAGATGGACGGGAAAGAAATATTGAGAACGTATATACATGTATCAAAGAATCTGAGAATAAAAACAGATGTGGTACTTGTATGAAATTTGTTTTTGCTGTTGTTTTTTTTCAACCCAAAATGTGAATATAAAAACCAGAGAAGAGATCAGAAGAGAAGCTGTATTGTCCACATTTTAAAACCTCATGCATGCAGTCCTGAAATAAAACACATAACATGTAGTGTCTTTTTTCCATGCAGGGTGTTTTCTGTCATTAGGAGAACATTTGTGGATGCAACAAAAATGCAACAAAGCACATGCATGTGTTGTATGATCCTTTATATGGTTTCTACTAAGTTTAGATCGTGTAGGAAGAGGACCTAGTTGTCTTCTGGCAGCCCTGTAGTATAAAATGTTAGAAGTGGTCTCCCATGGTGTAATTGGCATGGACTGGCGGATACTTTTAGCTGGCTGCCACGCCACAGACAGGCCGTCCAGCAGATAGACAAATAGAAAGCCTAATGGGCAATTCGATGGACAGAGAGACAGAGCGAACACACAGCTAGGAGAGGGGGGAAAAAAAGGATGTGAGGGCACGAGGAGGCCAAGAGAGGAGAAAGAAGGTCTGCAAAGGGGGGAATCAGAAACATATGCAGTG